ATTTTGGTAGTTTATAATTTTTTTCAGAGTTATATAGTAAACATCTCTATGCATAAATCTCTGTCCACGTTTAGATTATTTTCCTAGGATGGGTTCCTAGGTCTGAGTCAAAAGTTATGAATATTTTAATGCTTTTGTACACATTGCCAGATGGCTTTTAGAAAGACTGTATCAATTTTATATTCTCACAATGTATCCTGATGCCTGTCTCACCACATTCTCACTTTTTACTTTTAAGAATCTTGGCAGTGGCGACTCATTTTATTTGGCACTTTTAATTGTGAGATTTGATTGTTTCATATATTTATTAGCTGTTTTTATTTCCCTTATGGATTATAGTTAAGTCTTTTGTCTATTTTTATATGAGCTTTTAAAATATTTAGGAGCCAACTTGGCTCTTTTCCAGAGAATCATCAATCACTCTTAAATAAATAAATCTCTGTTGCTACTCATTCTTGGGCAAACTCAAGTTGCCCACATGAAAAAGAGAAATAGCTCAATTGCTATTCATTGTCTACAACTCAGTCCTTGTGAAGATGTGGAAGCAGCTTTCTCTGCTCCACCTCTAGTGTATCCTCTGAAGCATGACAAAGTTCCCCAGCTTGGTGGATTTCAGACTTTTTGTCCCTCGGTTTCAGCTGCTTTGAAGAATGGCCTGATCTCTGAGATGATCCCCAAATCTCCCTGGTGAATTTCATAAATACAGTGAAGCCCAGGTTTCAAGTTAGCATCACAAATTTATCATTAAAATTTAACAGAAAATAGTCCTGGTTTCAGATGATCACCTTTGTCATCACAGTTGTGGCTCTAACAGCGGAAATTACATTTGTCATAATTGTGGCTTACTGTCCTGTGTGTGTGTGTGTGTGTGTGTGTGTTTGTGGAGAGACTCTTTTTCATAGTCACAGCTACTGAATTATTCAATTTTCTTTCATTGCATTTACCATTAGAAAGTCTTCCTCAAAGTACTTAGTAATCTTTATGGAAAACCTGTACAACTTTTGTACCTTACTAATGGAAGTTCCGGAACCATTGTTCCAATTATGAAAAAACTCTTACCTAAACCTAGTGAGAGGAGAAACCTTTTGAAGACTTTCCTCGACTTTGGGGCTTAGGAAAGAATGAAATTCATGCCTGCCTGGCAGTGGAGTCCGTATTTTCACAGCTTCATGTAATTTGTGAGTCTGCCTGGTATCTTGTTGGAAAATAATCTATCCTATTTCTGATTCCGATAGCAGTAATCGACAGATGGACTTTAGGAGTATTTCCATAAGGGGCTGATCACCTTTCTCTGTAGAAGAGTTGTTAGGTTATCCTGTTGGACCATTTCCACATGTGTGCAAATCAATATAATTATGTTGTTTAGAGTGTGGTTTTGATGGTATCTTTCTAACTTTGTTCATTTTGAGGATGATCTTACCTTGCTCGTGATATTTTATACAGCTTTCTGCTGAAAGAGGATCATAGCATCTTCATTCCATAAATGTAAAAACAGAGTCACAAGGATGATGTGTTAGAAAACATCTCAGTTACAAGACCACACTTACCTACTGGTTCCCTTTCCTTCGGCCTTTCCCTATTGAACTCCGCTGCTTTCCTTAACGACTGTGATGTCTGAGCCGGTCTTCTTGCATCTGTACAGCAGCGCTGAAGAGACTGACTGAGCAGTGACTTGTCAAGGCCACTGTATTCTTAAAGCACTCAGGACAAAGATATGCAAATGTGTCCTTAGAGTTGGACATAGCTAGAGGCTGGTAATGTCATCATAAAACTCAGACCTTTTTCTGCCGATCTTGGGCAGTACATTTTCCAGGTTGTTGCTCGTGAACTAAAAAGAAAGTTAAATCCATGACTAGAATTTCTCTTTGGGTGACTGGCATCATACTTACCTTTAAATGCTTCCTGTCAGGGTGAATGTGCTTAAGAATGTGAAATAATCTGAAACTCTAGAAGGCATTCTCCAAATCTAATCTCCTAGCCACAGGTGAAGAGAAATGGAAAAACACAAATTAGCATACTTGTATGTCCAATGTAACTTATCTTCAAATATATAGATCAAAACGGGGATATGTATTTTCTGTTAGCTTTAATCTTACCGATTTCTTATGTTTCAAAATCTTAGAGTTCAGGGCGCCTGGGTGGCTCAGTTGGTTAAGCGACTGCCTTCGGCTCAGGTCATGATCCTGGAGTCCCGGGATCGAGTCCCACATCGGGCTCCCTGCTCAGCGGGGAGCCTGCTTCCTCCCTCTGACCCTCTTCCCTCTTGTGCGCTCTGTCTCTCATTCTCTCTCTCTCAAATAAATAAATAAAATCTTAAAAAAAAATCTTGGAGTTCAGAAGAAAATATGTACAAGACCTTTTTTGTACCTTAGGTTATATTTTAATATTTTTTTTTATTACTTTGGGCTTTAAGTCAAAATAGCCTACTATGGACCACAAAATATTTTCAGTTAATTTAGGCCTATCTGTGGTCAGATCTTGGCTAACCATTTTAATTCTTCGGTATTTGCAATATATCCTACATGAGAAATGGGGCTGACCAGAAACAAAACCAAGCAATGAACCAATAGCCCAGAGATGTCATTCAAAAGAGACTTCTGAGGAAAATTTTTAGGGTTGTAATTCAGTCTTCCAAGCATCTTTAGTTGAAACCAGTACCATATAACTTATTGCCAATGGAATAATTGTACAACTTAAACTTATTTAAGTTTCCAGAAGCATTGCTGAAATTTTGGCCATACTATGAACTATTTTATGCAAATATTAAGAAACTTTCCTATCACACAGTATTATATCAGCCAGCAAATCCAAAGACCATTTGCTATTGACAGTTACATCAGAATGATATATTAAGTAAGGGGCATGAAGTTGTCCCTCTCTTAAAATAAGAATTTCCAGTCATTTAGCATAGATTTTCTGTTAGTGAAAGTACTGCACATTTTTTCATTTGAAAAATTGAAATGGTGAATGGGAAAAGATTTCTTGAACAAATACTCAGTATATTTTTATCTTAACACATTTAAACATCTATTAATATTATTTTTCCATTTACTCAATTTCAATTTGCTTTTAAAAGAAACTCCAAGCTTTAAATAAATTAAACATGAGCTCATTTTTACAATGTAGTCAGCAATGATTTTGACTAAGGTTTTTGTTGTTTGTTTAGAGAAAATCTAGAACTAAGGAGATCTTCAAAAACTTTACAATTGAAGCTTCTTTTTAAATATGCAATTTTATTTTAAGTGTTTCATCTGTCTGCCCTCATTAGGTGTGTCTCATCATTCAATCTAATGTTACTAAAATAGTTGTAACTTTACAGCTTCTTTGATTAATGATGGTTTGGACTAAGGTTTCATTGGGTAGGATTAACTATGTTTAAAGATGGCAAGATGCCATTAAAACATTAATGCCAGAATTTAATAAGAACCAGAAATTAACTTCAGGGACCTTCATAATTTAATGTGAGGGCACAGTCATATTCTGATTATTTTAATGTCATGTCCTCTTAAAAATAAGTTATCTTGTGATAAAGTTTTACTTAGCAAACACTTGTTGATTGTCAACTATGTGCCAACCAAGTGACTGTTTTTCATCTTCAAACAAAATGAGAAATGCCTCCCTTGTTTAGAAATCTCCCAGGCTCCTGTAATCTACTATGACTCTGCTTTCCTGAGGCAGGGATCTAGCTGCCTAATTTCTGGTCTGTTTCTTTCACATCTCCTATATGAGCTGCCACCTCCATCGTCTCGACAGAAAAGCTGCCCAGCTACATCCCTGTCATAAAGGGTCTTGGAAGGTTGGAAAGCATGCATTAGAACTGAATGTCTAATTTGTGGTACTGATTACTACGGTGTCGAAGAGCTACACTTCACAGAAAAGTTTTGTAGGACTACACAAGTAGAACGGAAGGAAGGGTGGGTAGGAGAGGAGAGTGGAGCCTGGTGAGGGAAGAATCTTTCTGTTCTGAAGGTGTGTGGTGATGACTTAATTTCTGCAAACCTCAGTGACCTTTAAGCTCTTTTCGGCTCTAAAAATCCCACGATTCCTGTGTTTAGAACCCAAAGAGGGCAATGGACCTAAAGCAAATGCCTGTTGTTCATTTCTCTCACGATCTTATGTATATATACTTGCAAAGAAATGTTGAGACGTTGTAAAAACTATGAACCATAACCACAAAACACAAAAAGTGAAATACAGCAGAGGCAAAGGGAAAACTATATTCAAAAACTCCTGATGGAGACAAACCTCAGCGATTTCACTGTTGGCCCGGGCTTCCTGGTGGTGAGGGCAAAGAGGAGGAACAGGATTAGGTGGCGGAAGACGCCTCTCTCCAGTTCTTCGGGAACAAATCAGCGTTTTTCTTGTTCACAATAGTAAGAATAACTGGTCTAGGGGATTTGTGTATGAAGCCCTAAGCCACATAGTGAATGCTGTCCTCATGAATTTTGATAGAAAATGAAGTATACCACCTCTGTCATTTCATACACTGGTCTTTGGAGAACAGGGAGGGAATAATGTTAAAAGCAAGACATTTCTTTTGCCTGGGGTGGGGGAGGGGAGGCAGGGAGAAGGGAGTTTGAAACTTCTGGTATATTTACTGTAGATAGATGCTTATTTTCTTTCGACCTACCAACATGTGGAGCAGTAGGAAGATGTACAGATGTCTAGTAAAGGGTAGCATTGTTAACAGTCGGAGGGAATAAATGGAATTTTTGTGGCAGGATGATATTTGCAAGACTGATCAGGCCGCTGGGAGGTTTTTAAATATGCCAGTTCCCTATAACAGGAAGATCAGTCTCTGTTTTAGACAGCATATCCAATTTAGTAAATTATTATTATTCCATCAAAATTAATGTGAACAATTTTCTCTTTGAGGCTGCTTTTTCCATAGGTGATGTTTTCCAGATGGGCTTTGTGTAAAACTCTTAATGTTTTGTGTTTTCTTTCCTAGAGAAGGAGCCGTTTCTGACATGTCTTCATTTCTCTTTCCCCCGGTGTAGGAAAGAGAGCCCCAAAGGCAAAGGAGAAGAAGAACAAGAAAAAGAAGAGGAAGCTGATAGAAAGAGCCCAGGAGCAACACAGTGTCTTCCTAGCTACAGACAGGGCCAACCAGTAAAATAAAAGACACGTAGGGTAGATTTTGGGGAGGGGGTTTGCTTTTGCAAAAGTGCACAAAGCTCCTCTCCACCCCTGGATCCTGGCGTGCGGCCTTTGTGCTGCTCTGACCAGTACCTGTTCCCAGTAACGTTGTGAATGGAGGAGCCACGAGCGTGGTCTCTCTTATTTATGCTTTGTTTGCATCTGGAGCCCGTGAAGGCAGGAGCCCATGACCTGAATCCATGGAAGCAGGAGTTAGGGGTCCAGCATGGGCCTTGGCTCCACGAGGGGCAGGAGCTGTGAGGCCATGGACCACCCCTGGACCCAGACTTGTGCATATTTATGGGAAAGAAGACACTCAGCAGGCCAAGTGCTCTTTCACTGGTGACCTTGATTTCTCACATTGTGCATTCGTTCGCAAGGATAAATGTCTGCCGAGATCTGCTTTGAGCTGGGGGTGGGGGGTGCTCCAGGAATTCCTGCTCAGCTCCCCAGCAGCTCCAATTGTACATACTCTGTGGGGCTGCATATAAACCTCTTACAATGTATATTTATGCTTTCTGATGTGTAACAGGTCATGCCTGATACTATGTCACTTTGTTTCTAGTGGTTCCTAACCATTGTCCAGCACATGGCTGTTCTAGATTTGCGAATTGACCAATGTTGTGTTGCCCCTTGACATTTAACTTTTTTTTTTTTCCCAGGCTTATTTCTCATCGTAAGAATAGGCTAAGCTAGTTTGTACATAGGCTCAAATGACCAATGTCAAGGACTTTGTGTATCCGTAGACCTTCCCCACTCTGTGTCTCCTCATGCAGATAAAGCAGCAGGTGACAGGCAGAAGCTAAAACTCCTTTTGTGTCTAAGATGTGATGACTTCATACAACACAACTGAAAACATGAGGCATGACATGCAGTCCCTTGTAGTACTCATCATGCTGTTTTACCAGCTAGCTAATTTTTCACTTTTGTTTCAAACTTCAATATATATACACACATACACATATTTATTTAAAGCCATCCCTGACTTACCACGACAGGGTACCTACCACTTCTCTTAGGGTCACTGTAGAAATTACCATCATGAGACCATGCATAGCATTCGAGGAGAAAACAGGATGCATCCCTGTAACTGCTGGTCAAATCCTAACAGGTCTCCTTGGAGCCAGAATCCGTGTCCTCTCCCAGACAGAAGAGCCCTGTGGAGACTCTCCAGGGGACTTGCGGACCAGTTGTTTCAAAAACATCGTTGTGTAGTTGGGGGAATCCCTTCTTAGAGGGCTTTGAATTGGCTTCTTCTAAAAGCATCATTATCTTCCTGGCTAATCCAGAAGAAAATTAGAACAAAGTGAAATGGTTACAGATGTTCAAGGAAAACAAGCAAGGCAAAGCCTTTTTTCTCACTGTGCATTGGCCAAACTACCTCTCCAGCGTTTAATTTTTGAGTCAAAAGCATCTTACCAGTGAGTATAAATGTCATATGCATTGTTAGAATATTACTGCTATGAGATAATAAGCCATATATGAATGTTGTATACAACTTTAGGGTTCGCATTTAATCCTAAAGTGTTCACCACCTTTCACGTCTATTTACACTAGATTCCTAAGTGGGGAGGGGGCTCCTTTATATAGTGCTTCATCGTTAATAAGTCAGTACCTGTTCTGTTTCTGAGATGTTCTTTTCGTGCATTAAAAAACTTCGAAATTATTCGTTGTGGAAGTTTTCTTTAGAGGTACATTTCTTTGACAACTCTACCCCTAAATAATCCTTTAAAAGCAGGCAAATTTTTAACAACCAATGTTTGTTAGTAACTATACCTAGGAACTAGCTAGATATAAATTACACTAGAGTGGAGTGGTTAGGAGCTTTTTGTTTTGTTTTGTTTTTTCCAGATTGTTTGGAGACAGGGCATGTGCAAGCCGGGGGAGGGGCAGAGGCAGAGAATCTCAAGCAGACTCCATGCTGAGCATGGAGCCTAATGCAGGGCTTGATCCCATGACCCTGAGATCATGACCTGAGCTAAAATCAAGAGTTGCACACATGGCTGAGCCATCCAGGGGACGCAGGAGTTGAGATTTTAGAGCCACGCTGCCTGAGTTCCAGAGTAGCCTGGGATAGATTCTCTCTCTAGGGCTCTGTTCCTCATCTGTGAAATGGAGGTAACAGTATTGTCTACTTATAGGGCTGTGTTTGTTTTAAGGATTAAATTAGGTAAAATGTGTAAAGTATGGTCAGCACAGGGTATATATTAAATTGCTACCCAAATTACCTGTTATTAATTGCCTCTGTTCTTGATATTTTATTTAAAAGACCTTCCATTCTTGTTAACAATATATTTATGGCAACATCAGTTCCCTTCAATCTATTGCTTGATGCCTGGACATTATTTGCCCAAATTTTTATTCTTGTGGGAATTGATTTACAGTTGCTTCATTTCTAAGCCAGTTATAAGCAAATACACAACAGAGACACATACTACAGTGTAATTTATAGCTTCAGGGTAATACAAAGAAGATCTGGTGGTTTTCCAAAAGTAGCTATACCATATATACATATATATATAATGTATGAAACTGGTTTTTCCCTCAGTATTTTCAGGGAGTTTAGCATCTGTAGAAGTAAATGATGGGATCACAACTTGGTCAATTAAGAGGTTTGGGTCGGGGAAATTGGTGCAGCTAGTCAAAAGGTACAAACTTAATTATACAACAAATAGATCATGGGGAAGGCAAGGTACAGAATAGGGACTATAGTTAATATTGTATTCTCTTAGCAATTTTCAAATATAAAATGTCCTAATCACAAAAGTTTGACAGATTAGCACTTAGGAAAAGTCAATTCTATGAATGTCTTTTTTAAGAGGCTAATAGCAATCACTGTATACATGACATTTTCATTTTTTGCTAGAAACATTTGGAGAAAAGCTAGCACTTAGCCTCAAGTGTGTGATTCCTCCTCTAGATTTTTTTATCTTTTTAAAGGAGAGCTATGAGTAGGAGAGAAAAAAGTGAATAATGCTCTGTTCCTGTTAGAAGTTTGTGCGTAGTCGATACTACTTGATAATATCACTAGAAAGGGGAACTAGTAACCCTATAAATGTGTCTCTATCTTGACCAATCACATCATTCTCCCCCTTCTTTCCAAAGGAATAACTATTGCACTCAAGCATCTGGCCTCATCCCCTCTTACTTTTGTGGGGTCTTCAGAATCCACTCCCGACCTTTCTTCAGCCCTTCCTCTCCCCATGACTCAGGTACTATTTCTCTCAAGGTCTTCATTGTCCACTCTCCTGAAAAAGGAGTTTATGGTCATTGATGGTTTTGACTTTGTTCCCTTCTTATTGATTTCTTCCCCACCACTGCATTGTCCTTGTTCTCACAAAGGGAGCAATGACATTCCCCTTGCTAAATATGAAGAGAACATTGGCCTTATTTGCCTCGATGCTTTTTGTGTGTGTCCTGCCTGCTATTTCCACCAAGTTTGATTTTACTGGGCACTTTTCAGAAATTTCATTTTTCGTTTGACTTCTATGACATTTCTAACGTGGGTTTTCTACTTCCCTATTTCTTTTGGTCTTTTCGAGTTCTTCCTTGGCCTAAATTCAAAATACTGACATTTCATAGGTGAGCCCACTATTTAATCTTTTAAATTTAATCTCTTCATCTCCTCAACTTGGGAAATATGACCTTCTGGCTTCAGATACCAACTGCCTGCTGTTGATTTCCAAACCCAGCTCTCTGTCTCCAGGTCTTTGGTAAGGATTTCCGAGCCTACTAGAGATCTTGACTAGGGAGCCACACACTTAAGCTCAATGTATTTGAAACTGAATTTATTACCATATCAGTCAGGCTCCAGTCAAGGAAATAAACCAGTTGAAGTATTTCAAACAGGGAGTTTAATGCTGAGAACTGGTCACACAGGTAATAAAGGAGACAAGAAGCTGAAGTGGGGATGACAAGACCACTCAGGTTAACAAAAGCAGGAAGTCACTATCACCCCTAGGGCAAGGGCGGTAACAGGAAGAGGTTGAGTGTCCTGAAGCCAGAAGGTAAGGCCACCCAGCTGGAGCTAGAACTGTAGCTGAGGCTAGAGCTGTGACCAAAGAGGAAGCTGGAACCAAAGACAGAATGCTTATCTGGTGGGAGCTAAAATCTTGGAACAGATCTTGTCACCCTGAGAAATGTTGCCTGGCTTCTTCCTACCTTCCAACCGCTAGTCTTCTACCCACACCTGCCATTAACCAAACCTGACTGGAAACCAGGGAGCCTGAGTAATGTAGTTCCCTCTGTAGGGAAGGACATAGACCCAGGAGCAAGCAAGCAAATAATCAACATAATCACTGACATCTTCCCGCAAAACAATTCCGCTTTCTGCCTTCCCATTTAATCGTTAATAAAATCTTTACTTACATAGTTGGTTACATGAACACTCTTGTAATCATCATTTACTCCCATTGTTCCCTACATCTAAACAGTTCCCAGATTCTAGCCAGTCTACCTCAGAAGTATCTCCCGAATTTCTCCCCACCTCTTCACTTTCTTGGTGCTGTGGCTGTGCTAAGTTTCTCTTTGTCTCTCTTCTAGACTGCTTCATTATCCTAAATATTCTTGCCCAAAGCTTCACTCCAATGATTATATTTCTACCACTTCTTTTTCCTGTTGATATATTGGTAGAGCTCTCCATTATTTAAATAACTTCCTGTTTCTTATAGAATAAGATCTTGTAATTTTTTACATGAAACACAATACCCTTTTAACTTTCTCTTCACTCATGTAGCTTGTGAGGATCAAGAAAAGACACTGTATGGTCTGGGATGAACACTGTAAAATTTTCAAGGGTTCCTTTCAGGTACACTTGGATGTGCTTACCATAATGATTGATATCCTTGAATCATGAAGGCAAAGATATAAGGGTAACTATGACTTTGAAAGCAAGTGATAAACATAAAATCTGAGAGGTCGAACAGTCTGAAAAATGTGTCAAAGATTTAGACAAGTTCCCATGTTAATCTATGATGAATCATTACAACAAATGGCCATGTGCCACTCCCCTGGCCCCCCCCCCCACATTAGAAAACACTGTTAAGCACTACCGAGCTAAACACAAGTCTCAGAATCCTTCCCAACAAAGGTGTCCCAAAGAAACACTACCAAGAGATTGAAGTTGACAGGGGAGTTATGGCCTTTTGGATTCCCAGGTCAGCTTCATGCCCAAGATGGTGACAACTGTTTTCTGTCAGAAACACTCTGGAGTACTCCATGAACTACTTTTCAAACCTTGCCACCTAGGTACCCTTAAAGACAGAAAAGTAAAGTTTTAAGTCTGGGATTATAACCTTTATTAGCCAACTGACTCCTCGAGTTTTCTAACCTCAGTCTCTGTGGTAGCATGCGACCCAGGTGCTCATTCAAATTTTATTTGATTCTCTTCTACTGGCTTCCTTTCTTCCTCTTGCTAATTTAGTTCTAAGACTCAGCCACAAGACTTCTTCCTAGATCTGTTTTTGAGAAGAGGGGTTAGCAAAATTTCCATGAAGGGCCCGAGAGTAAACACTTTAGGCTTTACAGGACACATGGTCTTGGTCACAGCAACTCAGCCATGCCACTGTGGCACAAAAGCCACCACACAGTATGAAAACAAGTGGGTATGACTGTATGGTAATAATTCATTTGCAGACACTTAAATATGAATCTCATACAGTTTTCATATGTTTCACCATAGTATTCTTCCGATTTTTTCCCAACCATTTCATAAAAGTGAAATTGCTGGCTTGCCAGCCGCACAAAAACAGGTGGCAGTCTGGATATTGTGGATGACCTGCTGGTCGGTGGACTGTCCTGATGAACTCTGTGAGAGGCTGCCTCTAACCCTTAGCTGTGCTCACTATTATCTTGGTATGTTTTCTTTCCTTTAGAGTTTGGCTTCCATTTCCTGCCTTAGCCTATAAAAATTGAGTAGACAATGAATGCCTACTCTTTACAAAGAGTAAAACTTTGCAGGCAATGATTGCAGTGCCTCTGTTCTTGGCTTGTTCATTTTGAATGAAAGATGATTTTTAGATGAATGTCGCGTATCCTCTCCAGCTCCTCCACTATGGAGACAATAGAGCAGGTTATGTGATAATGTGATAATGGCAGGAGTGTCAGGAAAGGCATCTCTGGGAACTTTGGCATGAAGCCCAGATGCTGGGTATATGAAGATCTGGGAAAGAAGTAGCCCAGACACTGGCAACAGCCAGTGCAAAATAGCCCTGATGTGCAGAGTCAGCATGATCAAAGTACAGACAAAATGGAAGAGTTGCTAGAGTACAGTCAGAAGGAGCATGGGGCCAACATGAGGTTAGGAGTATTCAAAGGCTAGGTCATGAAGGGTCATGAAAGCTATGGCAAAAGCTTTAGTCTAAGTGCTTAGAAAATCATTGGAGGATTTAAGCAGGGGAATGATATGATTTGATTCCTTTAACCCATTCACTTGGGCTCCTGTGTGGAAGGTTGGTTTTCAGAGTGAAAGCAGAAAGACAAATTAGCAGGTTATTTCAGTAATCAGATGAGAATTAATGTGACTTGGGCTGGTAGGTGGCAGTAAAGAAGGAGAGAAGTGGTTGGATTCAGGATGTAGTTTGGCAGAAGAGCCTACACATTTGCGAGTGAGCTGGATGTAGGGGGTAGTCATGAAGGAAAAGAGGGAAATGAATATGTCCCCTATGT